CATAATGCTTTCTGATGTATTTGGTGCTGAGCTATGTTATGCTGCCTTAGTCCATATGGTTGGAGCAGATTTGATTTTGGTTTTCCTTAATTTAATTCTGTGTGCTGTCAAATGTACTTTATTCTGTATATTGTGTCTGCACTTTTATAGTAAACTCCCTCCTGTTTAGTGCTTTTGTTGAAAATGTTTTCAAAGTCTGAACTAAATTAGGGTTTCACTCCTATGCGTGTTTCTGAAATATTCGTAGGATGTTAATGACTTGGAAGACATCGTGTATCAGCTTCAACTCAATTTTTGGGATTTTCTTCCAGCTTTCTGAATTTTATAATAAAGATCCCTTTGTAATTCATCTGTCTGTGCCCTGACTTCAGCCACGCACTGCTGAGAAAAAGGGCAGGTAAAGAGCTCATAAATACCTTCATCCAACAACCTTTACTTGTCTTGAAAACAAGAAAGAAGGTCACCACTGCTCCATCCACTGCTAGGGCAGAGAATGGAGAGGTGCTGGTGTTTTCACTTCATCAGCCCAGCAGAGATTAACCCCTGTTGTGGCTGTGACACATTCATTTCCAGCCCGTTGTGGATTGTTCAAGAAGCTGAGAAGCACCTGGCCCAGGCAGGGCTGCCCCCAGCAGTGAGTGTTTGCAGACTCCTCTGGCCAGCAGCCTGCTCAGCACTTCGGGAGCACCAGAGCTTGCTCAGCCACCTATCTCTGGCCATCTGCTTGCCACAGCCTGGGTGAGCTGATAAGCAACAGCTTGCAGTAGTCTGGGGAGGGAGGCTGGCCTGGAGTGTTGCTGGAGTCTGGAGACATCGTACTGGGCATATGCTGAAGTCAGCAACACATTCCAGTGCCCTTCTCTCTGCCTGGAATGCCAAGTTACAGCTACCACAGAAGATAACAAACTGAAAATGTGAAATGTGGGAGTGACAGGGAAGAAGAGTAGGTGAAGATAGCTGGAATTCAGTTTGCAGAGAGAAATAATTTGAAATAGATTATCTAGAAATGTGTCTCATAAAAGTCTCTCTAGTTTGCTATTTGCTGACTCAAGTTAATATTATTAAAAAGCAAAATGACCTTGTAAAGAGTCTGGCTGGTTCTGGAGATGGTGAAAGGTTGTTGAGTGTGGAGGAGCTTATGACTAGTTCACAAAATAAATACTGCCAAAGCAGTGATCTTTGCTTAGTTTCCCTCCCAGCTGCCCCTGTCTGACTTCCAGGATCTCTTAAGAGAAAGAACATCCCCTGTGTTGATTGCTTCTGGGAAGCAGTTTGGTGGAGTGTTAATACACCTTGGTGGGCACAGAGCCTCTGGGATGATGAGAAGTGGGGTCAGTCAGCATTTTCATTAGCTTGCTTTTCCCAAGTATTTTTAGTATGACTGCACTTAACTCTCTTGGGGTTTCTTCCTTGGCAATTTTCAGCTGCTGGAGCAGACAGGTCCGTGCACAGTGTTCTTGTCTGGCTTTTTGTTTTACCCAATTCTACATCCTCAGTTTAGTGGTGTGCCTTACAAGCAACTATCAGGCCCTTGCTGCCAAGGCTCCTGGTGCTGTAAACCTGCTTAATTTGTTCCTAACCAGGGAAATAGGGAAGCAGGATCTGCTGTTACCTTTTCCCCTGTCACATTCAAATCTCTGTGGGATGCAACATTTTAATTATTCCCTGTCACATCACAGGTTTAAGTATCTCCTCAGCTTTCAAGTCATCTCACCTATCCCTCTGCTGTTGCCAAACATGCTTTTAATTTCTAACAATGTCAGGCTTCTCTGACACACAATATGCAAAGTGTTGCTGGAGAAGGGGTTCAGCATACAGGAGAAAAGGAAACATTATGTGTGTGTCAATCTGCAGAAATTTACTGACTGGGTTTCCAGTTGCTTCAAAATGTTGCTGGAGAGCTGATGCAACAATATGTGTAGAGAAAGGAAAACAGGAATTTTCTGCAAGGACTGGAGTCTCTTGCTGTGCAGTGAGTTTATGCTTCACTCTCTCACATTACCTGCTCTGCTCTTCTCTCTCACAGAGCATTTCTTTGCAGTTTTATGGTGCCAGTGCTGGTGTTGTTTCCCAGTTTAGTACAAGAAGGCTGCTCCTGCAGGATCCTTTCCATGCTGTGTTGGGAAAGGCAGTGCATGGGCAGCACAGGCAGTGTGGGTGATTTCAGCTCCTCACAAGTCTGACGTCTGCAGTTTGTTAGAATCTGCTTGTCTGCCTTTAAATAACAACTTGCAGTTATTGCAACCTGAAGCCTTGGTTCTTGTGCAGCATCTGACACAGGACTGAGGGCTGCACTGAGGATTTCCATAATTACCTTCTGGTAATTACATGTAGTTGTTTGATTCCTAACGTGCATGCGACTCAAAAATACAGACTTTGTGAGCTGGTTTCACATGGAGCATGTTTGCCAGGTTGGATTTCCTGTCTTCCTCATCCCAGAAGCTGGGATTGCCAGGTGGCTGACAAACCTCCCTGGGATCAGCTCTAACTGGCATGGGGAAGTCGTTACATGTGTGTGGGCACATCCACAAAAAAGTTGCTTTCCACGGTGACATCTGTTTGCTCAGATATAAATGGATCAGTGACTGTCCCATCTGGAAGCTGGGGTGCTTTGATCAGTGGTTTGCCTCATGTGCTGCATCCACCACTTCTGGAATCAACATGCCATCACTGCTGATTTCAAGTTGTTTCTCTCTTTTTGCAGGTGAATTAGAGAAAGTGACTCCCAGAGCACCTTGGCTGTATGAACTCTTGAGCTGTCAAGGGACTGAGAGGCTTATGAAGAGGTTCTGTCAGGCAAAACAGTGCTTAGCAAAGACACCAAGGAGGAGGGAAAAGGAGAAAGGGAGGGAGAGAGAGCTGAAACACTAACAAACCATGGTAGGTATTTGTTGTCTTTCACAGGGGTGCATTAAAAGTGTTTTCTGCTGCCAGGCCTGCATGGGGCCTGATCAAACCCAAGAGAGGGGATTTTCTGACCTTGCACTAACTGAGGGATGGTACTTTGTGCTTTGAGCAGAGCAAGTGAGGTTTGATGTATTGTCAGCCTCTTAAAGCCAAAGAATGTTCTTGTGAGCCTGCAGTACATGAATTATTAAATACCAACGAAGGGGATGCTCATAAGGTTTTCTAATAAAACTGGCATTAGCAGGCTGTAGCAAACAGCATCAGTGACCTTGAACTCACAGATTTCATTACCAAATGCTCACGTTCCCCTTCCACCTCTACCTGACAAAAGCAAGTTTTGATTATTCACATCCATGTGTGTGTGATTGAAGGTGCCTCTGTGCACACTTTGTGGCAGTGTAGCTGAAATGTGTGTACCAAATATAGCTGGTGTGTATGGTTTAAGTGAGGAGTCACTCCTCATCTGCCTGGGTTTAGCTGCAAATAGAAATCCCTGAGATGTGGGATTTGTAAAGATGTGCAAGTATGAAGTATTGTCATGGTGAGATTCTGAAATGTGTTCACAAAAAGACAATAAACCTACTTAGTTGCTGAACAATGAGTGGAGAGTAGTTTAAATATACTTATATATTTTTAAGTCCTCTAAGGTTTTTATTGAGAGAATGGAAATGAGAATAAATGCAATAAATTTTAAACACAGTTGCTAACATTTGTGTGGCTGGTTGCTGCAGGTAGGCTGTGTGTTTATATTTGTATTTTTTTAAAAAAAATACCTAAACCAAGACTTGTAGCAGTTACAGAGGGAAAGGGAGAAAGAACTCTTTGCAAAGCAGAGTTGTTAATATATTTTAAATAGTGTCCCACTCTGTCATTCTTTTTGGCCTGAATTGTAATGACAAGTTGATCTTGTTAGCCCCTCTTCATTAGAAAAGAAAATGTGTCTCACAGTTAGGAATTAGCAGTTTGTTTCTGTTCCACTGCTGTACCTGACATTTTGTAGGGTAGAAGATGGTGGGTGAGTTGGTAAATGCAGCTGGGCCGTTTCCCTGCAGCCTGGCTGTATCCATGTTGTGGATAACCACAAGAGGGACCTCCTGGAAGCATTCTGCAGCCTATCAAACTGCAGGGGATAAAACCAGCCCCTGACAGATGAATTGTTACTGCCCAAATTATCCATCTGGGTAGGAACACAAAAATTAGGAAGGGAATGATGTCATGACCTTCAATGGAAGAGACACAGGGAGTGCAATAAACCAGGAAATCATGGACAGTTCCTTAATAAGGATCCAGCCTAGAGGCCTGTGAGGTTGTTCAAAGGCCCTTTGTGTCCTTAGGAGTGGGTACAGCTACAAACCCATGAAAAAGGGGTGAAAATGACACCTAATTAAGGTGCTTAATGTGTAGGAGGAACAGAGGGGTTTGGCTGATGATTCTGATCTGGGAGGCTTTCAGCAGTGACTGATGTGTCTGTAGAGACCAAGACTTATTGCTGCCCTTGCCACGGGTCTGTGCTGTGATCACAGCTGGACTGGGGCACTGGTTAGATCCAAAAAGTCTCACCTGAATAGTCTGCAGCAAACCCAAAACTTCTTAGCACAGGTTACCCAACTAGTGAAGTTTACCTCCCTCAGCAGTATCACTCAGAAATCTGAGTTTCACTGCAGGCTTTTTTAATTAGCACTCTAATGTCTTCCTATTCATTTGAATGTTTTTTAAAAAGAAATTTCGGTCTCTTACCATTTGTCTTTATTCTCATCTTCATTCATGCCTTTGCAAATCCCTGTGCAGTGGCTGAGCCTCTCACAGTTCTGTGCTGCCTCTGAGGGATTGGTTCTTTGGCTGCCTGTTCCAAGCTGTGCTGCTCTGGTCCCTGGCATAAACACAGGAGAGGTGGCTGCACTCAGCACTTCCAGAATATGCAAAATTGTATTTGCACAGTATCAATAACTTTCACAAAGCAAGAGTCATCTCTCCTTGCCTGCCCTCGTTTCCACATGCTATGCCCAGTCTGCACCCTCCCTGCCAGGCAGGATTCCCATTCAATGCTCCAATAAGTTTGTTCTCTTTTCTTCCTGTTTCCCACTCCACAACAGAGATCGATCCGATCTTTTGCTAATGACGACCGCCACGTAATGGTGAAACATTCAACCATTTATCCATCTCCAGAGGAGCTTGAAGCTGTCCAGAACATGGTCTCAACAGTAGAATGTGCCCTTAAGCATGTCTCTGACTGGATGGATGAAAAGAACAAGTCTGCAAAGAGCGAGGGTGATGTGGAAGCCAAGGAGGAAGCTGCAGAAGGCACTGCCAAGTGAGTGAAGCCTCAGCTCACAACGTGTCCCTGTGCTGCTCTCAATGGCTCCTTTCCTCCAAATAAGAGTCGTAGTGTTACCTGGCTCTGCTGCAGATGGATGTTCATAGAAGGAGGGGGATATATTTGGACTTTTTGATGTGAGAACACGTGGGGGGAGTGCAGGGAATGGCAATAAGCCCAGTGTGGGCAGCAGTTGCTCTCTGTTTCTTTGCTTATTTTACTGTGATGTTGTGAAGTTGCATTTAGCAGACAAACCTTTCAGCAGTTTTAAGCAAATACAATTCCCTGGAACACAGCAGTGCAAATTGACAGCCATGTGCTTGGGGGCTCCTGCAGTCTGATACAAAAAAGACGTTTTTATAATACAGCAAACAAAGTTTCCTAAGCCTCCATTACTTTCCATTATTGCCATAATTTAACTCCTGCTGGCAATTCAGCCCCACTGAGCATATCAGCCCCAATCAGCATAGATGCTGATTTTTTATAAAAAAATAGTCCAAGTGTGCAGTAAATGCTTTGGAGACAATTGGATGAGACAAAAGCTGGTGCTGGCCTGTCAAAGAAGCATTTCTTGCATTTTACTCCATGCTTTTAAACAATCCTAGTCTACAAAACTGGCTTTTGTCACAGTCTTTTTTCTCAGCACTCAAAAATTAAGTGTCCCTATGTTGCTTTGAAAATTCTTTACTGTGACTCTGAAAGGTTCCCCTAAACTGTAGCTGGAGAATAAAATCCCCTTTAATTACCCTAAATTGCTTCATTTCCAGGGATCAAGGTGGTCGGACGTTATGTGGTGTTATGAGAATTGGCTTGGTTGCAAAGGGCTTGCTGATCAAAGATGACATGGACCTGGAGCTGGTTCTCATGTGCAAAGAGAAACCCACAAAGACCTTGTTATGTATTGTTAAAGACAATCTCCCAGCTCAAATTCAGGTGAGTTCATTGCAGCAGTCCTCCCACAATGGCTGATGGCACTGCAAGGGCTATTTGGGGAAAGGCTGGAATTTGTTCCAACAAGAAAGACAGATGATGTAAAGGAATATGCTCTGAATCTAGGATGGCATCTGGGGCGTGTGACGTGTTTAATGTGGTGACATGAAGTCCTTACTCACAAAATGTAACCTCTTCCTGCTGTTGTTGCCCTGCTCCTGTTTGTGCTGTCAGTTCCCTGAGGGCAGCTGACCTCTGTGTGTGCAACTAACCCAGGGTGGGTTTGGGTGCTCTGGTCCACCCAACATCAGCTGAACTGCAGAAATCTTTCCTGCTCTAGTGTGTCCCTCAGTCCCTGTTGTTGTCCCCTGCCTGAACCTGCAGTTCCCCATTGCAGCTGCTTTGCTTGGGCTGTTCCCACATAAACCCCTCTGTGCTGCCAAGGTGAGAACATGTCACTTTAGGTGGTCACTCATTTGGGCTCATGTTAATCATGACCTCACATTTTTTTATTTATGGCTACTCAATTCTGATGCTGGCATCCAGTGGGCAGCAGTTGCAGCTTGTTTAGGGATACTTCTGAGGCTGAGGGATCAGTCCAGCTTCCAGGCTCACCAACACTGGTGCCAAGGAACTGCCCTCAAATGTTCCACTGCAAGTGCCCCTCTCCAAACCACAACCAAACTCAATCTGCTTTTCTTCTGATCGGCTTTTCTCCCAGTTTTACCATTTTTGACAGCTGTTAGTTCTCACCATTTATTTTGTCACACAAAGGGCTTGTTCTAATGGGCTAATGTTGTTCCTAGAGATGTGGCCCTATCCATAGCTAAAAATACAAAGGATCTTTTGAGTAGTAAAGAGTAAATTTTACTTGTTTGAAAATGATAGGGATGTATTGAGTATTAAAGAATAAACCTTGTAATGAGGCATGAAATGAGGAGGGCTGAAAGTGAGAAGTTAGTATGTGCTTCAAAAAAGTGAGATAAAATGAAAGAATAGACATAATTAAAATATGTGAAGACTGAATAAATTCAAGAGACGGGCAGGTAAGATCCTGTGGGGAAGGACTGTGAGTGATTACAGAAAGGGATGAGGGAAGAGGACTCTGACTGGTGAAATGCTCCAACTGTTGTGGGCATGGCAGACAAGGAGAGGCTCTGCAGAGGGATCAGATGCTGTAGGTGAAGGAGGGTTTAGGCCTATTAGTGGACAAAAGGAACAAGGGAGGCTCAGAGACTCAGGAGCTGCTGCTTTGAAGGCTCATGGAGAGCAGATGCTCAGCCATTTTCATCCCAACAATGAGGGAGCTGCAGAGCAGACTGCAGCAGGGAAGGGGTCAGAGCAGACATCCCACCCACCGGTGTGCGGAACCAGGCTCTGCACAGAAGGGGTGGCTCGAGGCCTTTGAGCCATCTGTGGCTGCCCTTGTGCTTCTGGAGGGTGAGAGAGGTCCCAAAGGGCTGCTGAAAGACCTGCAGAGAGATCACTGCAGGGACTGTGATACAGTGCATGTTAATGGAGCAAACTGTAAGGCAGTTGTAGCACTGGCTACAAAAGAAATGTTTTAAATTGTTTTTAATGAGGGAGGCAAGGCTGCCTTTGTTGCTGCAATGCCCTGTAGCCTTCTCATTAGCTGAAACACATACACAGATTCTTCACTTTTTCAGTTGATTTGGGAGAGTCTTGAAATCTTTCTTGGTGACTTTCAGAAACTTACAGAAGAGAAGTATCTGGTGGAGGAGCATGTAAATGAGGCAGCTATTGTTATCCATAACACAAAGGAGCCCAAGCTCACTTTGAAGGTGATACTCACATCCCCTCTCATCCGAGATGAAGCAGAGAAGAAGGAAGGAGGTACACAGAGCGTTTTAATTTGGTTTTAAGACTGTTCTAGCTAATGTCCTGACTGTGCAGCACAGGGTTAATTGGCAAGTATGTTTTTAATTGTGCATCATGTAGTGACTTGACTGGCTATTGCCACCATGACTTATATTATTTGTGCCTTAAAAAGACAGCAGTCACTTAAATGTCATGTAAATATGTGTAGTTTTCCTTTCAAGCAATATTCCTACAGTGTTAAGTCTGACATACAATTAGATCTTAGTTCTCCTTTCTTTCAGACTTGCTATTTAATTCTTGAGCACCTGGCGCTGCACAGTCTTGTTTGCAAATTAAGTCAGTCAAGTGGGATTGGTTCATAGTTTCTTGAAAAACTCATAAAAATGTTTCTCTTTATGTAAAAGCCCTCTCCTGCAAAGCTCGCCAGAGTGTCGTCCTGGCCCTCAGTTTTTATTGATTGATGATGTGTATGTTTCTGGCTTTAAGAATTTCCTAACTGGGATACAATTGAAGTTATGGTGCTGTGATACAGCACTTTTGCTTCTGAATTGAACGTTGTACCTCATGTCCTTAGAGTAAAATAGTTCTAGAAAACTGTCACTTAGTCCTTTCCGTTCCTTCTCCCTCACCGCGGTGTCACACAGTTCTGTGCTGCAGGAGTGGGGCCTGTGGTACCAGTGAGGCTGGAAACAGACTGTGAGCAATAGAGAAGAGCAAATGTAGCCATACTTTGTTGTATTTAAAAAATCTTTTCAGTAATTTCTGCTTCCGCTTCCCAAACCTATCCCTAGAAACTTTGCCACTGGATGATGTCAGACCTTTGACCAACTGGCCACTCTCTGTCATGACAACTGAGGCAGCTGGGCCCGTGTGGGCTAGGGAACTCCCTGTTGCTCTCTTCCCATTTCTAGACTTGCCACCAGACCTTTGCTTCCTCCCTCTCCCATGGAAAACCGACGGGGTGAGAAATGTTGGTCAGTTTTTCCTGGTTTTGTTGGAGGCGATGGCAGGAAGGATCCCTTTCCAAGTGACATGTAACACTTTGGCAGCAGTTGAATGTAGAAAAATCTTACAGAACAGATGAATGGCAAAGATCCCTTAATTACACTGGCTGTTTATTCTGAAATTAGCAACAATGCTGTTTCCAAGACCATTAAAAATAAACTGCATATTGCTTTAGTTGTTCAGCTTCCCACAAGATGCTGAGACCAGCCCTGGAGCTGCTGCAGCTCATCCATGTTCATGAGAGAGCCCCAAGTGTAGGACGAATTCCGATGGTGAAGGATTTGTGAGATTCCCACCGGGGATACGGTTTTACACAAAGGCTTCTGCCCAAGTATTTTCTTGTAAAAATTGATGCTGTAATGCCAGCGAAGTCCAGGAATTTCTGAATTAATCTCAGACTAAAGGAGAGTTGGAATTTTATGCTTTCTCATGCTTAAAACGTAGGTGGTCTATTTTTTTTTCAGTATCTTAAAATATTTTCAAAGGTCTCTACTATATTTTTGAAATTTAAAATGGTTTTACCACCTCTCCTGAAGTGGTTATACACTGTCATTCTGTGCAGCTGCTGAGAGCAGGGAATAGGGTCATTTTAAAGTCCAGGTTCCTTGGCATTGATTCATCACAAAGAACAGAGACATTTATCATATTCCTTTTTAAGGTATATGGAGCATTATGCAGATGTCACTAATAAGTTGAGAGGGATACAATTTTTTTTGTAATCTTTCCAACCATTTAGATTGGAATCACATAGAATCAGACCAAAAAAATTTCATGTGAATAGGGAGAATAATTGGAGAAAACTGGTGAAAACACCTTGATCTCCAAAGCACTGCCATATTTTTTCACTACCACTGAACAGTGTCAACCAAATGTAAGTAGACTTCCTATGCAGTTTTACAAGCCTGTCAGTTGGCTCCATGCATTCCTTTGACTGAAGGAGCTCAAAGTGCTGCTGAACTTGCCTTTCATCTTCCATGTAAGATAGGCCCAGACTGCCTGAGCCTGTGGAAAACTGACCAAGGTTTCTGTGGTGGGATTAGCACTAATCTGTCCTCTAACAACCCAGGTCAGGCCAACGGCCCTCGTTCCCAGTGCTCCCATTGTTCTGTAGGAATGCTGTGTGTGCCTTCATGCCCTGATGTCAGAATGTATTGAAAAACATTCCTGGATTTCTCTTCAGTCCCCACCTCTTTGGAAAAGTGTTCATGTTTAAGATGTGGTGTTTGTCCTATTTGTTTTTGCTGCTCCTTAGCAAAAATAAATAGTGGCTCAGTGTGTGTGTGCATTTTGGTGTTTCTCACAAACAGCTACCCATAAAGCTCTGCTTTCTCATGTTGAGAAGTCAAGCACCTAAATTTGCCTGCATTTTGCATCCGTTTAAATTTTAAACTTCTTAAGAAACTGAATTTTTAGTCACAGCATCAAATATAAATTGGGCTTTCCAGACCAGAACCTTGTATCCTGAAAACCAGTTATTGTTACTGAGCATACAGTAAAACAAATAATATAATTACAAACAAGCTGGCTCACCAAAGTGGGGCTGAAGTCCCGTTGCTCCTGGAGCAGGACATGGCCAGAGATGCTCCCAAGGGGCCAAGTGCCACTGCAGGGGCAGCAAGCCCCAGCCTGCCCTCCCCTCTCTGGAGAACACAAGGCTCCTCGTAGGGCTCAGATGAATGGAGTTGGCAGCTCCTGTGTGAAGAGAATGCTACAGCAGTGGGGAGAGAATTCCTGAGGGATTGGTTCTGTGTTGCATAGTGTGAGCTAACGTCAGGGCTTTAGAATTTACTCTTTACTAAACTCCTTGGATCGCTGCCCTTGTTAAAATTACAAGGGAAAAAGGAAAGCTTTGCAATCCCGTTTGAAAATTTTGATTTGGTCTCACTTTCCTGACTGGCAGAGCATGAAGAAACATGCCATTCTCCTGAGGGGTCTGAAGGGAGCCCGCTGCAAGCCGCTCGCCCTCTTCACTGCCTGTTCTCTTCATCTTTCTGTTTAATAGAATCTTGCACCACAAAGTTGGCAGACTGCAACATCAGGACGCTGGGGCTGAACAAGCAACTGGCAAAATTCTCCAAGATATTTGTATATTAGGCCTTGGAAAATGGTCTTAATCCTGTAAGAAAATGTATGGTTCTCAATTGTTGAAACACATCTTAGGAGATTTTTGGTTCACCTGAATGACAGGTGACATGTATTTTGTTTGGTTTGTAGTTTAAATGAAAAATTAATTTACTTTATCAATGGCTGCAGCAGTCTTTAGCAAAGCCTCATATAACACTGAACCCCAGTTCATTGCAAAAAAATGATGATTTTGCAGTCAGTCACCTTTGCCATTTCTAACGTTTTAAAAGAAGATTCTGATCATTCATTGACAGTACTTGTTTGATACAATACTTGAGCTTTAAGCAGATGTTTATATTGTCTGCAGTGAAGTTTTCTCAGAGAACTACCCAGATGGATGTTGAGTAATCCTGTGCTACAAATGTCACTCCTGAAAACAACGAAACTGCAAAGGAAATTTAGAAGCAAATCTTGTGTTCCAAAGTGACCTTTTGTGCTCAAAGAAAGCCAGAGCTTTGAGACTTTGCAGCTTTTATTTGGACACTGATTTGCAAAGCAGACAAGAGGAGTGATTAATCCCAGTCCTGGAATGCTGTTGATGAGGGCAGTAACAAACAATGCAAATATCTGCTGTGAAGTTCACAGGGGTTAGAAAATAAGCTTATAGCACTTGAGTCAGCAGCTGTGAACTGCAACCATCACCTGTCAGACAAGATACTGGTTCTGTTCAGTTTTACACTGGTGGGGTTTTTTTGCTTTGGGCTCTTTTATTCATCATAACATCAAGTGCTTTTACCAGAGCAACCTTCCCAGGAAATGGCTTAGGAGAGGCAGCCTTAACATTAAAGATGCAATTGCTTGTGCAGCCAGTCCCATTCAAAGGAACCCATGGAAATGTCCTTGGAGATGGAACTAACAAACTGATGGTACTTTTTCCTCATAACCTGTCCTGGTATTTTAGATGTCTTGCTGGATTTTGCTCATCTAGCAGAGTTTTCAGTTTGCAATGGATTTAGTATTTCATTCACCTCTGCAAAGGTCTCTAAAGACCTGGAGAATTAATCATTATGAATAATGAAAAGAGTCCATTTCCAAATTATTTCTTTTTAAGTCAAGAGTAACTATGTATTCATAGAAAAATGTCATATTCAAGGTTTTAGTTAAGCCATGGATTCATTTTGTTATTCCAGATGTTCTCAACATCAGCTAAAACTAGTATTTTTGTAATGTGATTTCACAGAAATGTAGAATCTGTCATTTAATATAGAGTTTCCAGAGAATCTGGATGTCACAAACTCCTTTGGATTAAAATACAATAAATACAGAAGGACTGATAGAGATTTCCCCTTAATGTAGAATTGGATGTGGCTGCTAAAAGCAGTTTGTTACAAGTTGGCTGATAAAGGGGGGGAAGGCAAAAAAGTGTAAACCTGGACAGAAAATATCAGTGTCTTGTCTCTCAAATCCATCTTTGAATTTCCTCTGTTGGTTTCAGTTGCTGTTGGGAAGCTTTTACTTGAGGGCACTTCCTCTCAAATACATGAATGACCTGGAAGTTACCAAACCCATTCTTTCATATGCTCTGGTTATATGAAAGACTAATCAAACTAAAGTATTGTACTAGCAGTTCTGTATATTTCTTCCATTGAATTATACTGGCTAGTACTGTTAATGCAGTATTATTTCAAATATATTCAATGTTTTCTTTGGAGTTCTCAACAATTGCATGGATGTAATTTCACTTTCTACCTATTACATTTTTTTTATTACCCTCTGAGAATATCTTCCTCTTGTCCAAAGAAGCTTTGAAATTCCGTGCCACCTTTGTGGAATAAAAGTCACAAAGAATAAGAGGAAAAAAAAGCCCAGTACATCCCAACAGAAAAAAAAAAAAAAAAAGGAAAAGTGCTATAGAGCTATTTTCTGCCCTGAAATGTGTTCTACATTTTTAATAAGATCCCAGATTGTCTGTAGCAGTGGCCATCTTTATTATTACTATTATTTTACAAGGAGTGAATGCCTTTGCTTCTGTTGCACACGTGCACATTTACTACCTTTAATGGCTTGTTTAAATTAAATAACACCGTGCACTTAAATTCTGGGAGTCTTATTATCTCATTGAGATGCTGCCGCTCTTTTTGTATTGTGACAGAAACCCCTTGGTCAAATTGTATCTGTCTCTTTTTATCCCATTTTTACCAGTAGATAATGTTGCGATGAAAGATCCTCCGGACTTATTGGACAGGCAGAAATGCCTGGAGGCCTTGGCGTCTCTGCGGCACGCCAAATGGTTTCAGGTTGGCTCTTTGTTCTTACCTTGTTGTTATTGTAGCCTTGCGAGGTTTTATTTGAGACAGTTTTAATTTTAATGCCTCTTTAATTTCTGACTAGTCCCTCCTAGAGCAAAGGTCTAGAATTCCAACCCAGTGCTGTACTGTGTGAGGGCAAACGTGACAGGGAGACAGTCAGCTGGTCCAGAGTTGTCATGAGGCTACAAAAGCAATCTTGACATTTCGCTGCCTTTTTTATACGTCTCTCTAAATTCAAGTGTACTTTTATATAAGTGTTTTTATTTTGCATGAAGCTGATTAAGTATTAAGTAATAATAATTTAAAATCTATCCCAGGACTCTGTGCATTTAAAAAGAAAAGCAGAATTGAAGACCAGGCTTTTGCAGGTGTATTGGAATCATTTTGTTTGTTTTAGGCCAGGGCAAATGGACTAAAATCATGTGTAATTGTCCTTCGTATTCTGCGGGATTTGTGCAACAGAGTCCCCACATGGGCACCGTTGAAAGGCTGGGTAAGTACAGAAAGAGCTGAAGGCCACAGGGTCATGTCTCAGATCTCCTGAGAGTTGCAGCAGTGTCTGGACTGGAGAAAGCAGAGTCTTGTATGAGACTCCTCCTTCTACCCCTGTTCCTTTGCTCCCCATTAACTGCTCCCTGTGTAGAGGAGAGAAGGCAAGTAGTCCTTGAGTCTGTGATGCACTGATCCCATGGAGAGGGACACACTGATCCCATGGAGAGGGACACACTGATCCCATGGAGAGGGACACACTGATCCCATGGAGAGGGACACACTGATCCCATAGAGAGGGACACACTGATCCCATGGAAAGGGACACACTGATCCCATGGAGAGGGACACACTGATCCCATGGAGAGGGACACACTGATCCCATAGAGAGGGACACACTGATCCCATGGAAAGGGACACACTGATCCCATAGAGAGGGACACACTGATCCCATAGAGAGGGACACACTGATCCCATGGAAAGGGACACACTGATCCCATGGAGAGGGACACACTGATCCCATGGAGAGGGGCATACTTTTGTGGGCCTCGCACATCCCAGAGGATTGGCAACAGACTCCCACTTGTTGCCTTCCATCCCTCTTGTTTAGTATTCTAAAACTATCCTGCTCCTGTGACAATGCCACTCCTGCCAGCGGCTGTTGCCCTTTCATGGGCAGGTTTGCTCTGCCCATGGAGAGGAACACTCTGTAGGGCAGCAGAGGTGGTGTTTCTCTTGTGTGGAACTGAAAGCCCTCTGAAAGGAGAACATTCATCTGGCTTGACTTTAGAGACCTCTCCTTTTTGACCTTTTGGGCAGACAGTGAGGACACCAGCTGCTCTCCAAAAGGTGACTCAGACCAGGGGGACAGAGATGTGCCCTGCACGAGGACATGGCCTCATCTGGGGCAGGTCTCTGTCCCTCAGACCTGTAGTGGATTACAAAGTGTCCTGATGTGAATGTTCATCCCCTCTACCCCTCCCCCCCATTTTTAACTTTCAGTCACAGTTACCCTTGTGTCCATACTAATCGTAATTTAATGTCTTCTAGCCACTCGAGCTTATATGTGAAAAATCTATAGGTACTTGTAATAGACCTTTGGGCGCTGGGGAAGCGTTGCGACGAGTGATGGAGTGTTTGGCATCTGGAATTCTGCTTCCTGGTAAGGGGCCAGGTGAACTCCAGGAACACAAAGGGATGCTCAGCCCACCTAAGCATTTAGCTGTTGCTGTAGGATTACATGAGAAATGCCTGCCGTGAACTCTGAACCTGCCATGGAGTGAAATTAATGGTTTTTTTCTTTAAAATATAAAATTAAAAGAAAGGATTTTGCATAGTGGTAACTGTGTGAATGATATTGCCACTGCAGGAGAAGTTACCGGGGAATGTTAGATTTGTTATAAATTAACCCCTACCCCATTAAGGGGTTGCAGGTAAATAGACTTAATGATTATCTGGTTTCTACAGATTCCTTGAAATCTACATATCTGTCCAAATTATGTGTTTTCTTCCAGACTTACTGATTTCAGTTAATGTTATCACCCATGTGCAGTGTTTACTCTGATAAGGTCTGTGGCCACTGCAGGGGTATAAAACCCTGGGTCAGTTTGCATGGTGTGAGGCCTGAGTCCCTGCTGGAGAAGGGCTGCTGCCCTGTGTGCAGCAGCTGGGCTCAGCTGCTCTGTCAGTCCCTTTTGCACCCTGCTGCTGGTTCCCTCAGTAATCCCCGTTCCTCTCCCTGCCAGGGGGCCCGGGGCTGCACGACCCCTGCGAGCGCGAGCCCACGGACGCTTTGTCTTACATGACAGTTCAGCAAAAAGAAGCCATTACACACAGTGCTCAGGTAGGCAACTCTGTGTGTGCTGCAACTGTGAGGAATTCAGCTCATTAGCACCATTTATTCTCTGCCAGGATGGCTTGTTTTCATGGCAGTCCTGACAGTTCTTGGGCTGCACTGTCGTGGAAAGGTTAAACCATAGATCAGGAGTGCAAGAGTTAAATTTGTGTGAAATCTTATCCTTGCAGAGGCAGCGGGGTGCCTGTGCACCCACCTCGGCTCCCAGCACAGAGCCCTTGGGTGGGCTTCCTGTCAGTGTGCCCTGCATTCTGTGATACAGAAATGCAGGAGTTTTATGTTTTTAGACATTAGGATTTCCCACAGCTATTGCAGAGGCCAGCTGTAAAAGCTGTCTTCTTGTCTGTCAAAACCACAGAAGTAGTTTTGTGTCTAAAGACTTACTAAAAAACTTGAGCAACTGAGGTGAAATCCTGCTGTGATTAATGTGTGTGTCCACTGTCCCTTTCAGCACGCGCTCAGATTATCAGCCTTTGGGCAGATCTATAAAGTTTTGGAAATGGATCCCCTCCCATCAAATAAGTCATTTCAGAAATATTCCTGGTCAGTAACTGACAAAGAAGGTAGGTATTACTTGTTCCAAAAGTCACTACTTGAGCAGCAAACTAGGAGTTAACTTAGAATGGGTGAAGTTCGGAATTATGTGCTGTGAATGTGAAGTAGAAGCTATTCTTTGGTATATGTGCGGTGATTTTTGTTTTTCCAATATTTCATTGCGAGAATAAAATCTGGAAGTTCTGGTCTCTAGAAATACCAAGAGATGAGAGGCACAACAGCCATAATATAGCTGTTGATTATCTTTAAGCACAAAGTCCCTTGGCATGCAATGAGCAGAAGTAGTATTTGATTCTTATGCTGGCGAGGAGAGACTGCAGACGTGTCAAAAAGCATATAGTGAGTGTCCATAATAAGAATTACTCAAAAATTATTCCTAGAAAACAATATATATCTAACTTTAAAAATTTCCATTTGTATTTTTTTTTGTAAAAACAATACTGTTGGAGGTCTTGCTTAGACTAAATGTGGAGAGCAGCACTGCAGGTTTGTAGTCCTTATCCCACACCTGGTACTGGACACAGAGCTCCTGCCTGGCCTGGCAGAGTGAGCAGTAAACCAGTATTGGCTTTCATGTAGCAATAAGAAAGCTGTGACTGATGGATGAGTTCTTCTCTCTATAAACAAGCAAGAAACAGTGTGGGACTAATCAGACTCCTGCTGTGGGATCGTGTTTTTCCTAATGGCATATCCATATTACAAGGAACTTTATACCCTAGGTACAGGCTCATCTGCTCTGAAGAGACCGTTTGAAGACAGTGTCGGGGATGATAAAGATCCAAATAAAAAGATGAAGCGTAATCTGAGGAAAAGTAAGTGCAGCACTTCTCCACTCTGTTTTCAAAGATCTATTGTACAGGGGGAGCTGCTTTAAAAGCTTCTCTGTGTTGGTGTGGTAGAGCATGTGAAAAAGTCTTTGGAACAAAATTGTTGTCTCTATCACCCTGCATTTGGAATGTCAAACACATCTCTGTGCATCTGAATTTCCCCTGACGTGCTTTACTAACTGAATGATTTGCATTTTTAAATGGGATTACCCATGAAGTTACACCAGAACTGAAGCTGCCCAAGCAGCTGAGGTACTTTATTGGTTACATCCCTGTATTGTGGGGTCTTTTTAAAGTACTGCAGTGACTTTGGTGAGTGAAGATTGCACTCTCTTCACTCTTCCCCTTCCTGAGTTAGGTGCTGGTCTCTCAAGATCTCCCACAAGGAAAATAAGATGTGTAATCTGTAAACCATTGATGTTGCACATATGCACAGACTAGAAGTCTCTTGGCATTGCTGGGATTGATCCAGTCATTCTGGGGGCTATTTTCATTGTGCCACTTGGATGCCAGTTCTGGATCTGGTTCCCCATTAGCTATAAAACCTGTTACTCCTTTTACAGCAGGCAGGAGGAATACAGCTAACTGCAGCAGAATGTTGTTAATATAAAACCAGGTCACTATAGTTGTTAGCCCGAATTAGAATGGCTTATTAAAGACTTAACAGTGTTATGGCTCTCCTCACCCTCTTGAGAGGCTGAGGGATGGTTTTGCTCCTTGATACAGACAGAAGGCACTGAAATGCAAACTATTTCATTTTTCTGTTCATCTTGTTTTGTTCATTTTCCTTTCCCCTCCTTCCCCCACCCCTTCTACTATCTTGTACTAGTACTAGATAGTAAAGCAATAGATCTCATGAATGCTCTGATGAGGCTGAACCAAATCAGGCCAGGGCTTCAGTATAAGCTGCTGTCACAGTCTGGTCCAGTCCATGCCCCAGTCTTCACAATGTCTGTAGATGTTGATGGTACGACTTATGAAGCATCAGGACCTTCTAAGAAAACAGCCAAGCTCCATGTGGCAGTGAAGGTAAGGCAGCCTAAAATAATCTGCTAACCCCACATCTTGGGATGGAGTATGAAATGTACTTAAAACTAGACATATGCAAGCTCAAAATTAAAACAAAAAATCATTAAGCTGAGCTGCTCACTGTGTGCTCTAAAGACAGCTGGTTCAAAGAGCATCACTGGTTTTGTGCTAGTGGGGGGGGGAAGAATTTCCTGGAGCTCTACAGGTCAGCTCGTGTTGCAGTGGACTGAATGTGGTGGTGCAATTCTGGATGGGAGGGTTTAGTTCTGTTCTGTTCTACTCCTTCCTCCTGTTGCTTTGGAAGTGGCATGTTGGTGGCTGCTTCTTTCTCCCCCTCCTTCTCTGTGTCCATTCCTGGCTTGTGAGCTCCTGGAAATAGAGTTCTGTCCTTGGTGCCTGAAGAGTACCTCTGTGTGCTGGGTAAACCATGATTTATCCAGTTAGATTTCCAGTAGGACACTGGTGTCATTCAGAGGCTGGTCAAGCTGCTGTTGCTTCCTGTAGGTGCTCTACATGACAGCAGGACAGACTGGAATGGCCAGTGTGAGCATCCACCAGATGTGGTACTTGGGGACATGGCTCAGTGGTGGGCAGGGCTGGGGTAATGGATGGTTGGACTCAATGATCTTAACTTTCCCAGCCTAAACGAGTCTACAAAAGAACATCTGTTAATAGAACTGCTCTTCTGATAGGAACAGGCCCATCTGTCATTCTGTGCCTCATTTTGTTTTGAACAAGAATTTCCTTTTTAGAATCTTCATCTGGCAACTTTCTGCTTTCCTTTGATTTCAGTTTTGAAAATCCCATTGTCCTATGTGCTTTCAAGTTCAAAGTGTCCAGAAGCATCTGAGGGCATGTGTTATTCCTTCAGGAAAAGTAGCTCCCTGCATGTGTGTCCTTCCAGACCTTTTGCCTCATTCTTTTATTTTTCCTACCTCCCTGCAGTTTAAAAAACAACCAAAAAAAAGCCCAAAAAACCCTCTTGCCCTGAAAATTTGTGACTGCTCTGCCCTTGAACCTCTCTGCGTCAGCCAGATCTGTGCTGGTGCCGACCCAGCTCTGTTTTCTCTAAATTTACACATCAAAACATCCGCGATTCAAGCCAAGAGGAAATGGGTGGTGTGGTCAGAGTTGCTTTTTTTTTCCCCCTCTCCTTTCTTTCTTTCCCTTCTCAGCAGACCCAGACCCTGCCTTCCAGTCTTATAAGAGGGAATAATGTGAGATTTCACTTTCTAATCTGACCTTTTTAAAATGCAGAAGCCCTAAAAATGCAGCCAGATGTGCCCCAGTGCATGGCAGCTGAGCTGGGGGTTTCCCCAGGCAGGTCTCAGCTCAGGGATAGGACACAGTCATTTCTGCAGATTTGTTCTTGGCCCCAAGTTTTCAGCAGAGTTTCAGGTTCCTTTCAGTTTCCCTTGCCCTATGTGTGGTAGCTCTGTGCAGCTGGATCAGGAAGCTGGTTAAGGGAGAGGCTGGCCTTGCTCATGGAGGATGTTTTTGAAGGAACTGAGCTCCAGAAGTACCATCTTGTACAAGGCTTGAATTCTCACAAGACTGTTTGTCACGTTTGCCCCACAGTCTGTCTCTTGATCTGTCCATAGACACAGGGGGGAAATCGTGCATGAAACTATTTCCTTATAAGGCCATTAAACAGTGTCTTTAATTTCTTACTTTACAAGGAATTCTTGAGATGATGAATGATGCTCATGAGTATCTTTGAGACTAAAATTCTGCTTTGTGTTGATTCCACTTTTAGAAACCTGAAATTATTTTCCCCATTGATATTGTATTCCCTACTGATAACCACTGAAATGGATATCTCCATTTCAAATAGGAAAAAACTAATATTCTAAGGAATCTGCCTTTTTAAAGTGTATGGTGGATTGTTTGTTGTGTTGTGATCAACTTTGTATTTGCTCCTGTTCTGCTGCCTCTGTCACAGTTCTTTTCATGGGGCTTTGTTGTAGGTTTTACAAGCAATGGGGTATCCAACAGGTTTTGATGCAGATGTGGAGTGTGTAAGTTCTGATGAAAAATCAGATACTGAAGGTAAAAATGAAACAACGTCTTCAATCTCAAGCAATAATAATACTGGCAATTCCACAGCTGACACCTCCGCTACCCTAGAGGTAAGGATTGCATTGAAAGTACAAAAGATGGAGGTGTGGGGTTTGGGGTTTCACTTTTCATTGGGGTTTTTTATCTGTTCTACTTGTCAGAATGGTAAAACATAATATTCTTCTAGTTGGGAAACAATTTCCAGTGTGTAATCATGGATAACTCAAACCACATACATGTTTAGCCACTGAGAAATTTCCAGGGAACTGGAAATGGGGTATTTTTAATGGAACTGCCCTGTTTTTATCCTTAGCTGAGAGAATTCTATTGCAGACTGATCTGGTGTGCTGAGATCTCAGCTTTACCTTGCTTTCCAAACAGTTACAGACATCTCTACTAAGACACGTGCCTCAGTCTGAGCTGGGTGGTGCCAGGACATAATGAGGTGGAAGAGCAGAGATGTGTGCAGGGCTGGGAAGGCCAGTCTCTGAAAGCCTTCGAGTTCAAGGAACTTGACACCATGGCCCCACCTTCAGCTTCGGATTCTCTCAGGGTTGCAATTCCAAGTGCAGCTGGTGTCATGTTTAGTTTGTGCAGGCACCAGATCAGGCCATGAGGACAGCAGCCCTCACTAACAAATAAATGGGTGTGACTTCTGGGACACCATTGCTGGTGCTCCTGCCCTTCTTTAGAGACTTGCCCTTTGCCGTGCCGGCATCGCGGGTTGCTGCAGCCAGGGCAGTGTTACCTGTGATACAGCTCTGCAGAGGTTTGGCTGCATTTTGAAGAGAGAAAGGCTCTGAAGTAACACCCTGCATGTCTCTCTAGGTAAGAACTCAGGGTCCCATACTCACAGCAAGTGGTAAAAACCCGGTGATGGAGCTCAATGAAAAGAGAAGAGGTCTGAAGTACGAGCTCATCTCCGAAACAGGGGGAAGCCATGACAAGCGCTTTGTGATGGAGGTGAGAGGGGCAGAGCTGCAGCTGGTCATTAATGGTGCAGCAGAGTCACTTGCTGCTCCAGCTCACATTTTTGCTATTTTGCCTTTTGCAATGCACATTGGTGGTAGTGATTTCTCAGGTTATGTATTTCTTTATTGCTGTGATGATTCAGCTGGGGAAAGGAATAGCCTTTCTACTTTAGGAAAATACAGTGAGAATTCAAACTGGATTCTGACCAAAACTTCATGATGAGGAAGACTCTAGGGTATGGGTTAAATCCAGTATCCAACAGATATGCTGGTCCTCTTTGAATTGCAGTTGTAGTTGCCAGATTCCCAGTATCTGTGACACACTGGTTCCCAAGATAACCTTGGTATCCTTTACCAGTTTCAGATCTAGAACCAATAGAAATTTGTCACATAAAACACTAAGGATGTTTTTTCCTACTGAAGTTCTTTATGGGTGGCACATCAGCCGAGTGGGTGCAGCATGGTGTTCCTGTGCATCAATACTAGGCATAAACTCATGTCTTAATTTTCAGGTAGAAGTAGATGGGCAGAAGTTCAGAGGTGCAGGCCCAAACAAGAAAGTAGCAAAAGCAAGTGCTGCATTAGCAGCACTTGAAAAACTGTTTTCTGGGCCTAATGCAGCAAATAACAAGAAAAAGAAGATTCTTCCTCAGGTAAGAACTGTAACTTGCTTTTTGGACCATTATCCCAGGTCTGGGTTGGTTTTGATACAGAAGGCGGCATTTTAGTAAAGTGAGGTTAACACAGGCTGGTGTTGTTGTGAGCTGGTTGTTTGGGGGTGAGATCCTGGCCCTGCTGTAGTTATGTGGAACCAGGAGGGTAAGGGAGATGTAAAACCAGTGCTGTAGGTTGAGGAAAGTGGTAAGGAGGTAGGAAAGACAGCATGGAGGAGCAGCAGAGAGGCTCAGAAGCCAGCAGTGTTCAATCATGCCCAAATCTGGGGTAAATAAGGCACAGTCTGAGGGAAGGGACTGCCAGGGCTGAGCAGGGGGAACGTGCTGGGCTCTGCAGGCAGTGACAGGGCCAGGGACCCGCTGTGTCCCTGTCACTCACATCCTTTGGCACAGCACTCTCCAGTCTGTGCTCAGCCAGCCTGGCACATCAGGCACGTTTACAGAGCCCTCTCAAAGGGGATGATTTAATGCAGGTGGCCTTGTATTCCTGCAACACTCACTCTCTAAACTGCTATTTTTTGTCACTCTGGGCAGACTAAAGGGGTTGTCAATACAGCTGTTTCTGCAGCAGTCCAGGCTGTTCGAGGCAGAGGACGAGGTGCTTTAACACGAGGGGCGTTCGTTGGGGCAGCTGCTGCTACTGGATACATAACACCAGGTAAGACACCACACCTGTAGCTGACAGTTTAGTATTTGTCTGCTGGGGTGTTCTTTTTCATGTGTGTTATTCACCTGTGCAAGTGATTCCTTTAACCATCTGACATGGAGCAGAAGGCTTCATGGGGATTTAAATAATTCAAAGAGCTGGAAAACTGGCAGACTGTATCCTTTATGAGTGTGCAGCTCAAAGCTCTGTGTGCACAGAGCACACAGTTATGGGCATAATGGCTTTACTATTTTATGATTTGTCTTCATAGTTCATTGCCATGGCACAATTCCCAAAACTCTCTTCCTACCTAAGAACCTTCTGGATCATGTGCTGGTTTAGCATTAGGAGTGCCTTTTCCAAGAATCCTTTGTGAACATGAAGTCAGCAGGCTCAAGATTCCGTGAGCTCCCAAAAATTCTCAATGTGAATTCCACCTGGAAGCATCTAATAGTAGCTTCTGTGGTGGCCAGAAATAAAAGAATTTCTTTTCATGCTCTGGCTGATGGGGAATCATCATCCGCACTTCATTGTTCTGATCAGCAGAAACAGCTTCTGAAGTTCAAGGGCTTCTGGTTCCCATTTCACATTTTCACAAGAAAATGTTCATGAAATGATCACTTTCTCCATCCTCAAATTACTTTTCAAAGTGCATTTTCTTTGTGACTTTACAGCATGTCTGAGGTTTGTGGGTGACATGTGAAAGGAATCCAGACATTGTTTTTGCTTGTTCTAAGAACCACAGATTTGTAAGGATGAGATGCTGAAGATGCCTTAGTCAAAGCAAATCCAGTAGTAGCTTCCAAAAAATAACACTTCTAGTCCTCATGCTCAGGCTTTCAGATTACAGCATGAGCTCTAATTAGACCCTCCAGCAGCTCACACGTGCTAATAGCACAGCCCTGTTGTTGGGGAGCCTTCCTGCCCGGCACCATTGGCAGCATGTCATCTTCATTGTTCCTGTATGGTCATGTCATTTTAAATATTAAAACCCAGTAATTCATTTTTAATGGCTGTTAACATTGTTTTTGGAACTGTCTGTCTGCCTGAGGAGTCATTTAAGAGACACTTTAACCTGCCAAGGGGCATGCTTCTTGCCAGTGTGGAATTATTCCAGAAATAAGTTTCATTTCCCAGTTGCTGTAGTTAAGCTTTTATTGGCCTTGGCCTTCACAGATTATTTCTCTCTATCACCTATTCTTCTCAGAAATCTCTTACTTTTTGGAGTGACACCAGCAGTCTCACCAGAAAAAGAAACCCTGTAAAGCCTTCATGAACTACTGACATGTAGAAACCAATGCTGGTGTTACCTGTGTTGCTTTTTCTCTCAGATACTTCAGAGTCACACTCTGTCTCTGGGGGAAAACTATCTGTTTGTGTGGAGGTGTTCACATGTCTTCTGTGGAACTCTGTCTGTTAGAAATGACAGAGAAAGCCAGGAGCTTTACTAAGGGGGACGTGACATCTGCCACAGGCATCCAGCATTTTCCTTTTAAAGGAAATTTAGGAAAGTGACTGTTCTCTGCATAGACTGCATTTGTGTTTTAAGAAGAACATAAGCAAATATGAGATGTCTGTGTCATGCCAACTCCATGCTCTGAACAGTGCAGACTTGAGGGATTGAGTGGAAAAGAAAATGCTGAGGAAATGAAATAGGGAATTTTAACTCTGTGATGCTGAGGCTTGAGAAAGTCCCTGGCAGCTTGGCCTTCTGGCCACCGCATAGGAACATTCAGTGTTTTCAGCAATATTTGTATGTATTGGTGTGAGTTTGGTTTTGCTGTGCTCCTGCTTCAGGCACAGGGTCCCTGCCCCTGTGCAGGTGTGCAGACACTGAGAGGCAGGGCAGGGAATGACCCCTCTCCCTGCTGTGTTTCCCTGCAGGCTATGGAGCACCGTACGGATACAGCACAGCGGCACCAGCCTACGGTACGTACAGCCCTGTAATTAACACCTTAGAAATTGTGCAGAAACTGTTGTGGCAATCCAAATGTGGCAGTCCAAGGAGAAATTCAAAGAGATTTAAGCTCTTAAACCATGACAACAACACCACTTTTATGCCATAACCTTGTGGTTCTTTTTTGGTTGGAGTAGCTTTTTGCCTCTGCTTTGCCTGGTCTGTGGAAGGACTGCTTGTTCTAATTGCCTGTTCCCTTCATACTGGAACCCAGTCAAAGTAGTTCCCTTACTTTTTACAGCCAGTCTGTGCTCCATTCAAAGACTACCGAAGGGCCTATTTCAGCATCTCTGACTCAGATTTAGCTAAATGGCATTACAGTAACATTGGTGAAATGTTTGCTCCCAAGTGTAAGTGACTTGTGGACAAAGCTCCCTTAATGCTGTCAACTCTTTGAAGTCTACGGGAAATACCCCCCCACCCCTGCAGGCTAAAACACCACTGCTTGGGACACCAGGATGGCTTTTGGGTAGTTGGTACTGGTAGCAATCAGTCTGTGAGGCAGCCAGGACATGGTCATTTGCCACAATGCTTTTCACTATGAAACATGTTCTATTAGGCTGGCAAAGCACTGGTTTCATGGAGATTGTAAAATGAGCTGATAACCAGAGAGCTGTGATGGAAGGGTTTTCCTTAACTCGGCTTCTCCCTCCCCACTGGCTTGTTTTATGCTGGACTAACAATGCATTCCTCTAACCGGCCCTTTTGGTTACTTTGAATGAGGTTTATGTGGCAATGGGAGCAGGGCAGTTTGGAGTCAGTGATATGTCCTGGCACACAACGTGAGCCCACCAGGACCAGTCCCACCAGCCTCTCCTGTGGCAGGGACTGGTCACAGTCTGCTGCTCAAATGACCGGCATGTTTCAAGGCCTGGAATTTTTCATATGGGAAACTTCTGCTTTTTAGTATTTGTAATAAGTTGTTCCTCCCAAATCTCTCTAACTTGAGCAGTACCAACTCCCCTGATATCATTATAAAAGTTAAAAATATTTTGAAATGTCGATTACATGACTTTTCTAGACGTATGAGCTCTAACAGGGCAAAAATGCTGCTGCTTTATGGAAAATATTTGCTTAGCCTGACTGGGACCAGCTAGTCCAGTTCTGTACTGAGAGGGAGAACGGGCCCACGGGCTGTGTTCAGTGTGGAATTCTCCCCCAGATTTGGAGCAAAGCTCTGTAGTTTTACACCTGCTGACTGGCCCTGTCCTCTGACAGAAGGCAGCTGGCAGCAGGGCTGTCCCATGGAGCGTTGTCCTTTGTGGTGCATCACACAAGGAACAGCAACGTGTTTTCTCAGAGAAAAATGAAAGGGAATTTAGTTTGGGGCATGGATTTTTTAAGACCCCCCTTGGTTCTTTTCAAGCAACAGTCTCAGAGTATAACCAGGATTACTGGTACCTGCATGTCTGTGTTTTTACAAGCAGTGACACACTGTGACATGAGGAATCCTTTCCCTGCTGAAGGCAGGAATACAACTGTTACCAAGTTTCCCTGCAGCTTTTCTTGCTTTTTTCATTCATTCCTTCCTGTTTGGGATTTTTTTTTCTCATTATGCCTATTTTGGGAGCTGGATTTTAAGCACTTAGGTGTATATATGTGACATATCACTGACTTCAAAGCATTGTGGAATTGGATGCCCCCATTCTTCACATAAAGAGTTTCTGTTCTTAATGTCTTATGATTGTGATGCAAAGTTCTGGGATAATGCTTTTTGGCTGTAAGGTAAACATGTCTCTTTGCCTTTGTAAGCTGTTGCATGTTGGGAAACTTCACTTTGATCATCTGGTGCTCTGAAATACCTGCTGTTGCTGCTTTGTGATTTCTAAATGGATACATAGGTTAAATACTAGAATTTAAATAGGCAAGATTAAAAAACCAAACAAACGTTTAATTGTGCAGAAGTTTGTGAGGCCACAAGAACTCTAAAATAATAATGAAATCAGGCAGATGTCAATCTTTCCAGATTTACTACTTCAACTCAGGAGAGGAAGTGCAGAATAAGGAAGCAGATGCAGAATTTACTGTAGGTGCTTGATTTTTGGCTGACCTACCTGGATGCTGATCAAAACTGCTGAACAGTTTCCCTGTGAGTTGTATTTTATGCACAGCAGTGCCTGTCTAGAATATCTGCAATTGCAACTGGCCTGTGAAATTACCTCAATGTAGCACAAACTAGTAGAGATTAATTACCATAAAGATTATGAAATAGAGCTTCAAATCCAAATATACACTCTGCTTTTGAGAATATTACTTCCTTAATTGTACCAAACACCAGGACAAAAATAAAGCAGACTTTAAGCTACAACCATCTGTCTGAAACAGTGCAAAGTGGTGAAGCGTTACTGTTTATGGGACCCTGCACCCTGACAGCACATTGCCTGACTGATCTGGAAAAGGTTAATGAGAACACTACTGTAAGCTCTTATCTGACTTTCTTGCATTGCTGAACTTATTTGGAGTCCTCTCCCTTTCTTCTCTCTGTAGGTTTACCCAAGAGAATGGTTCTGTTACCAGTTATGAAATTCCCAACTTACCCCGTTCCCCACTACTCATTCTTTTAGCAAATGGCAGAAGCTAATTCCTATTGATTGAACAACACAGTACAGTACAGAATGTTAGAAGAAAAAAGCCTTTTTATCCTGTTTTCTTTGAACACATACTTGAGCAAAGTCATTTGTAAAGAAACATCTTTTTCCTACTTTTTGATTTTAACAAAATGCAAATTTAGTTCTCTAAAACTTGAAAAAAATGTTCTGTGAAATGTTACCTCATTTTCAAATAACTTATACCAGCCTTCTGTTATAGGGAAGAACTAGAAGCTTAAATCTTACGTTTTAAATGAAGTATCCGATTATGTAAAATTAAATTTGTGAAGGATGTATAGAATATAAAACACTGATCACAAATAAACTGTTTTGTTGTAACACAAGAGTACTGCCTGTTTCCTAATGCAGTCACACAGACTCAGTTAATGACCTGTATTTGCTGTAGGGTTATTAAATGCAGGGCATAGTTCTTTAAAAAACAAAAATAAAAAGAATAATAATTAAAAAAACACGATAGAAACTTTACAGTTAACATTTAACTTTGTAAATATTATGGTGTGTAATAAACTTAGTAAGATATGGGTTAAAATATTGTTTTATCTTATTTTTTATAGTTAAGCATCAGTACCTGAGTTTCCTTATAGATCAGCATACTGTAACTGTGATTTTAGACACAGTCTTAATTATCCAAGAAGACTTTTCACTCATACACAAAATGCTGAAAAACAAATGAAACAAAGGGAATTAGTCTGTCTCTGTATAAGGCTGCATTCTGTGAAACAAGTATTAAACAAGTATTAAAGGAAGTTCCCACAGAAGGATACAATTCTAGGGACACACTTTACACCCGTATTGCCCAGAGAAAGGACAACAATAATGTTACAATCAGGTTCTTTAGAGCTCAAAAACTACATGTTTTCTTTTCTGTTTTTACAAAAAAAAAAAAAAAAAAAAAAAAGAGAGAGAAAAAAAAATTCCACTTGTTCTTGTGGCCTTCTTCACTTTTAAGATTGTCTGCCCACCCTTGATTTTCCATCCACCATTTCTACAGAAAGCATTTTATTTGTCAATTGTATATTAAACCAAAGGTTCTCCTTTCCCCCTTACATTTATAAGAATCTAAAGCAGCAACAAGGTCCCCATGAAAACTTGCTATTTAATTGTCCCAGTTCTTGTTGAGTGCTGCTGTGAAAAGTGACACACTTCAGCCATAGGCCAGTACTTTTTAATGAGTTGGTGCTCAAACCCAGAGTCCTCTTTTTGAAGAGGAGTGTGTGCACCTGTCTGAAATTCCAGGATAGGGCCCAGCTCCACGACTGGAGTCTCCATGGATTGTGGACTGCTGTGGGCTCTAACAAGGGATTCCAGTGGTCTTTATTAAGGTATCACCCCACAAATAAGCAGCATTGTTGGTTGCACTCTCTCCTCAGCCCCCGCCCGTTGCTTTTCCATAGGCTGGCTTCAGTTCCTGCTCTTCCAAAGATTTGCCTTTACCCCCTGTTCTCTAACAGCCGCTGCTGCTGAGGCGAGGGGAGCTGTGTCTGTGTTGAGGGTGTTGTAGGAGCGGTGCTTAAAGCAATGTAAAGTTCCTCCTCCCCACAGCCCCCTTTGAGGGAGAGAAATATTAGAAAAGCTGAATAAGGGGTGGCTTATAGAACAAGCTGCTTTCCCTGGAATTAACTGAAGCTGTTATTCTTAAGCTGAGTATTTGTGCTTAGGAATGTGTTTCCATTTCCATGGTTCTCCTCCTGCCGTAGCTCTCGCTTCCGTTTGGTGTCGGTGGTACTTTAATAAAACGCAGAGGATGAGGGTGAGCCTGGTGTCACCCACGGAACACAGAGCAGGGCCGGGGATGGAGCCAAATTGAGAGGTGCTCAGAAATCACTGACCTGTTTTGCTGGCCTATGGATGAAAGGAAGCCATCACGGAGCAGAAAAAGCATGGCTGATCAGAGCCCATTTTTGTTAATCAAATATTCATTAAAGGAATCTTTCCTCTGCACACATTTTTTCCCCCCCTCTCTTTTGGAGTTCCCCTGATTGGCAACTGTTTGTAGTTTCCTTTTTTTTTTTTTTCCTGAATCCCCAGTTTTGTAAAATTCCAAACAAAATATTCTGTGAACCAATTCTATACAATGTACGTTTGTAAGCCAAAACTTGTTCTTATTTCAAAGACAAGAAGGGCGCTATGCTCTTTTCCAACATGATGGCAGTCATTTCAGATGATTTATAGAAGTCATTTTTTATTTTTTGTCATTTGTTGGGAGTTACTAACCACATTGTAAACTTGCCCCCTTGCTGCATATTTTACATTTCTCTGCTTTACTGAAAATATGAATGAGCTGTCAGTTCTTTGTTTAGAAAGTGGTAACCTTGGAAGTGTTAGATGTTTCAATACCTTCAAAGAATTCAAAGTGCCCATTTTACAATGAAAATTCCACTTGCAGCTGAAAGAGCAGAGAAATTTAAATGGAGCTTTAGCTTCAGCCAGTCTCAGAAATTAACGTGAGGTTTTTGCTTCTCTGCTCTTCTCCCACTGTAGGTGGTTTTTTCATTGACAGTCCCTATTGCCAGCCTCTCAGCATCGCACCTTTTATTATTCACTTGGGCCCTCAAGATTTCTTCTCTGACTTCTAGAACCATCAGGTTGTGTGGCTCCAAATGGCATTTTGTACATGTCTTAAAAGCAAGAAAAACGTGGCTCGTTTTGAGGTTTCTCAACTTCAGACATGGGATCTGAGCTTTTTTCCTTCTTTTTTTTTTGAAAGTGTTTTTCTCACTTCTTGAACTTTGCTCCATGTAATGAAAAGCAATACTTAGTCCAAGCCACAAGTCCTCTCTTTGGGTACATAGCAATAGATGTGTATATACTCCTGGTTATTTCTTTACACTAGAAGGGGAAGGACTGCTGTGTCGAGGGGGGAAAACCAAATGCCAAACCAAGGCACAACCTGGGTCGAGTGCTGTTCAAGCACTGAAATCTGCCTTCACTTTCACTATTGAAGTCCTTCAGAATTTTGATACTTTACTGTATTTGCATGTTTCCTATAAAAGTTGCTACAGAGCTGTGCAATGGTCACTCCTGAAGCAGCAGTGCTTTGTACCATTGTGCATGTCAGCAGACATGAAATGTAGCAAAATGGCAGAAGAAAAAAAATAGAACATAGTATTTTTTCCCAAAATGTAACTGAATGATATATTCTCTCTCTCTTCCCCACATCATTGGTATGAGGCACAAAAATGGTAGGCCTGAACTTGAAAATCAAGCAGATTGCTTTTGTGTCTCTTAAAATCATCACCAAATGATAGGAAAACACAATATTTGGGAAACATCCAGTTGAAAAACCTTTGCTGCTCTAAATTTACTGAGATATTTCCCTCTTGAATATTTGTATGTTGATATTTTGAGATTGTCAATCAGCAATAACTGAAAGCTGAATGTTTTTTTAAATGGTATTGGAACATCTATATGTTGCAGCTTAAGACTTCTAAGCAGTTTTCAGCAGGTTAATTCCACTTTATTCTCATTCTCTCCGGACCTTCATAGCCATATGCACTTGTATAAAATAAGCAGAAATGTAGTGACTGTAAGCTGAGATCGTGATATAAAAGGTAAGAGATTTTATTTTCAGCTTAAAGAATATTTTTATTGCTTTTTTTCTAAAAATCTCGTATACCTGTGACAATCTTGTATATGGCACGTTTTTATTATGTCTTGATAACTCAGTGTTTAAAGAGGTAATACATAGGTCTGAATCCCAACTTTGTATTTCTCAAGGCCAATTCAAATACTGCAGTTTCAGTTAAAAAAATATTACCTAACACGTAAGAAATTGTTTGGTTTTATCAACAGACTGTTCTCCTTCAAATATTTTTCTCCTGTGTAGCATAAAAAGCTGTGTTGATACTGCTGTGTCAGGCACTGCATTCCTTGCATCCTGTGGACACGTTTGGGTAGGTACCAAAGCCAGGCCATGGCCTGCTCTGAATAATGCACACCTTGGTTCTGGCTAAGTGCAGTGGGTGACACTAATAATGAGAGAAACTATTTCCCTAAACTATTAAAGCTAAACTCCAAATGAAGAATGAAGAACTTTGATGATATTGCAGTTAAAATCTGCAGAGATCAAATTACATGAGGTAAATTAATTCAGGAAGCAGCCAGGTTTGCTTCCCTCCTGTGGGTGCAGTGCAGGACAGGAGGGCAGGCAGGCAGGGATTTATCTCTGCGTGAATCCTTTGCTTAGCTGTGCTTTTCTACAGCTGGAAATTAGGATACAGCCATCCATAAATAATTCTTTTCAGTTCTGTAGTAAATGTTTTAACAATATTTTACTTAGATTCAAATGGGTTTGGATTATGACCTATTGGTGCACATGATATGTGTAGTTTTACAATACTATTTTTTTATTTGTCTTTTAAACCTTGCGTTATGCAAAGTTGCATAGTACAGTACTCCAGAAGTGCAGTACTTGCAGTACTTGAAGTTGCTGGAAACAACTCTTTTTATATAAAAATGGCTAAAAAACAAAAAAGCAAAAGGGAGCAAGCTGAAGATAATGTATTAGCATTTTAGAGTCTCGATTCAGAGATGAAAACAGGAACAACCCCTGACTGGTAACAGTTGACACTGGTGTCAAACAGAAAACCACTTGTACAGAATATGTAGTGGTGGATCAAGCCCAAAGGTCTGCATCAAAACACTAACAGCAAATATAAACTATATTTGATTTTAATATTGAATCATCAAATTTACTAAGTAACTGCATGTACATCCATTCCTCAGGATATTTCTGGATATAATGCATAGGCTGGTAAGAGAAAAAGAGCTCTTCAATAGGGTCAGCTTTGCTCCTGAATCGCACCTGGGAAGTGAACTGAGGAACTGTTCCAGGGGCTGGCCCTAGAAGCACATAAATCCTTCCATGACACCTGCAGGACAACTGATGAGCAATCAGAACGTCCTTCCTGTTCAGGGGGCAGGTTTCTATCTGCTGTTATCTTCAAGGTGCAAACTCAGGGCTGGTTCTGCAGCTCACCTACAGTTCAGTCCCTTTTTAAGCCTGGCAGGCCCAGCAGTGCTGATCCTGGAGCAGCAGGCTGCTCTGCTCCTTCAGATAGGATATTATATGCATCAAGGTGCATTATAATGAACTTCTCCTGGATATTCCTTTCCTAAACTTAACTGCTGTCAGCCTGACAAGCACTGTCCACTTCAAGACTGATAGTAAACATCTTGCTGACTCTCATTTGATCGGCTTCTTTGTGGACTCTGCTTGGCATCTTAATCCATATGCATTTCTTTCCAGCAGAATTGCTTTAACTGTGAATTTCTGTAATTTTGTTATCACTCTTTTTAACTCTTAAAATCCTAAGCTTTCCACTCTCCTGCTGTTTTTTTAAAATGATCTCAACTTTCTTGCATCTTTTTTTCTCTAGATGTCTCTAATACCCTGCTGTTTGTAATGCAGTAAAGCATTGCAGTATTTATGTCTGAGACAGCCCCTTGCCTTTGCTGCCTCCCTTTTCAGTAGGAGAGAACCATTTTCTGATATGTGAAAACCACTAAGACTCCTAAATCTGGGTTCTGCAGCCTCCTGGAATCAGAGATAAGACCCTAAGGGGCATGATTGTCTGGGAACCCCTCTCATCCATGTGGAACTTGAGCAAAATAGCCCCATGTACTGAAGGGTCACAGAGTAGGCTCTGAAGTGCTGATGTATTCAGGTTTGAGAGAGAAGCCAATTCCATCAGTAGATTTCAGCCTAATATCAGGCTATTATCTGATTAGTAATCTGGATAACATCTGCCTCATCAGTGTTGCATCAAGAATGGCTTTGCTAAAGCAGAAGTAGAAACTCATTTCTTCTGCATATAACTTTTAGGTTTCCTTTTAAAAGCCTCCTCACAGGATCTTGGTCTGAACTGCCTTTTCTGTGAGGTTGGAGGTCTCTGTTACAGCTATTGGGCTTTGCATTTCTGCATGTACCCAAGAGCCAAACGCATACATCTGGTTGTGTATGCTCTGTGCAGCTGCCAGTAGCATTACCAATTCTGGAGTACCTTTTCAGTGGAGCAGAAATGGTATTTTACAGTTTAAATTTCTGGTTCATGGAAAAGAAATCTGAAAAGTTCCTTTCAATTAGTACATCTATAAATAGGAGACCAGGGAAAGTCTGTGCCTATACACTACCCACCTTAACGCTAGTTTTAGCTAACCAGATGATCGTGTGTATTTTGGGAGATGGTGTCTGGCACTTAAGGGATTAAAAGCCAGAGATTTACAATGAAGAACCAAACTGTTTAATGTGTTCTCTATACTGGAAATGAATGGCATCACCATTGACTTTGCAAAAACACCCATGAGCTTTAGGGGTCTGCTTCTGTCCTACTTTGCCAGCCATAAGAGATTCCTCCAGGCAGGCTCTTCCTAGAGAAGGGTTTAGAGTAAGCAGCCTGGTTTGGAGGGCTTGGCCAGCTCAGAGCGTGGTGTGTGGTGCTTCCTGCCATCGTGTTCTCTCTGCCAGTGCTTGCTGTCTTCCTTAAGCACACATTCAGGAGCTGGAACACAGTGACCTTATTCCTGGGCGTTTGGCCAGTTGGGTGGAGGGAGGCCAGCCTGTGCTCCTGAAGGGAATGTGTAACACGAGGCCTCGGTTGCCCAAGCAATTTCTGTTGGACACGGTGCACAATCCAACCCTCACAAAGGCAATTTAGTGCCCGGGTAGGTGGTTCCTAATCTGTCTAATTTGCTGTCCTGTAGCCAGTGTGAGCTAATTAGATGATTCAGCAATTGTCATGGCTCCCCACTTAATGTGCTGTAAATGCTGCTGCCATGACTTTCACTGCTGTTAAACACCTTTGCTTCTGTGAAGTCTGTCCTCCTGCCCTGCCTTTTCTGATCATCTTCTAGAATCCTAGTAAAGAACTGATTCTCTCAAATTATGAAATTGTTGCGTATAATTATCTAGATTCTTAAAAACTTTTAATCAGACTGTGAAGCACTTCAGAGAAACCAGTTTTCCTACAAATATTTCAACTTATTCATGTGCCAGAGGACTATTTCTACTCATTAACAAAGATCTGAAAATGCTCCAGTATCTCTCATCTCTGGAGAAAAGGATTCTTTCTTTGAGAACAGTTGCCTTCTGGTAGGAAAAAAGATTTAAAGTGTGTCTTAATAAAAGACTGTGCCCTCAAGCCTCTGAAAGAACTTAACTGGGGAAAAGTGCACAAATCTAAAATTATTTGAGGCTTTTTGCTCTCATTGAGCTATTGAGAACAATTTCCCTGACAAGAAGTTCCTCAGATTATTAAGATGTAGAAAATGCAGGAGGAGGGGCATGAAGATTTTTCTAGTCTGAGAAAAACATCTTCTGTTTGTTGGCTGTTCAGCTATTCAACTCTTGTCACTTATTTTTCTCCAAGACAGCAATAAATGTGAGCAGCTTTAACGCACCACCTCTGATCCACTCCTGGCAATGTCCCTTGGAGAGTGAGAGTGGCACTCCCTGTTTTTTCTGCCACCAACTCCCTGATGTAAAGTCCCTTCTTCATTTGTAATTCTGCATCTGTACTTTTGAGCCAGTCTAGAGGTGGGATAGCTGAACATTTCTCCTAATCCGTATTAACGACAAGACAATATTTCAGTCTTTACTCAGACAAAATTACAAGTTTCCTTCTGCCTCTTGTGCTTGGTATACCAAGATATGCTCACTCAGTATTAGAACTTCTTGCCTTTAGGTAAATTCTAAGACAGTTGCCTCTTACTTAATGAAGGGAAAACTGTGTCCCAGCCTCAGTGAGTTCCAAGTCACAAAGCAGCTTACAAAAACAGCTCCTATTTCCGGTGGCTCTGGGAAACAGCACAGCAGCTCTGCTGCTGTGGATTCCCTTGGATACATGATGAGATGTGTAAACATGAAATTCAGATTGTTGTTCTCAGTCATGAGGCTGACTAAGACCTTGCCTCTCTGGCATCAAAAGAATGAAAATGAGCTCTGTGCTGGGCACACTGAGGAGCCCTGTTAGGAACGGCTGTTCTGTCTCAAAAAACAGTAACTCAGCTCGAATGTTCAGCACACAGACCCTCTTGGGCTTCCTGCTGAATAATCCAGTGAAAAATGAGATATTTTATTGACTTGTTTAAAGCAGAGCAAAGAGACAGGGTAGCTGAATCTGCTGTCTTAGTACAGGAGACAGCTTGTCTAACAGCTTGCTGGTTTCATTCCACTGGAAGTGGAAATTCTGCTAAAGTCATTTTAGAGCACTTCACCAGAGAAACCCAGCACTGAATTCCTGTGCCTATGGACCACAGCAGCAGTTTCATGTGCCCTTTCTTTTGAACATAAACCATTTAAGCTAGTGGTTAAGTAGTTGGCATTAAGAGAATTGTCACCAGTAACTGTTTTATTGCTTAACCCCAGAGTGATGCCTTCTTAGCTTTATTTGTGTCATCTGAATCCACACCTATTTATGTCCAGGTATTGTGGTGCTTGCCTTTTCTGCTCATAGATATGGGTTTCACTTGTTGGTTTGTGACTGATACGTGAGATAATACAAAAGCTCAAGTAGGACACATCTGCCTGTTCCTCTGTGCTCCTCTCTCTGGGGTTTCCCAGGAGAAAGGGGGCTCTTCCTCCCACACCGCTCTGATGCTGTGGAAGCAAGGCAGTGCTTTACTGGGAGTGCTGTGAGTTAGGTAAGAGAAAGTTCATCAGACAGGAAGGTTTAAATTCAGTAAAATGGGGGTTTTTCTCCAGTTCCTGAGATTGCATGAAACATTCAGACCACATTGTTTACCTTGATGTTTTTGAGGAGCTGAATGTCCAAAAGTGGTGTGTGGAGATGTGCAGTTCTAAAGCATATCTCTTATTTTGGATGTTGTTTTATCTTGTATTTGGTGCCTTAACTCAGTACAGTTTAAGGTCATATATACTGTACCACAGGTAGTTTAGTAGTTGTGTACTTGAAAAGAACCCATCAAGCCTAGTCTATAGAAACTCTTTTACAGACTGAATCCTTCTCAGGGGGAGTACTCTTCCATGCTTAATTAATAATCCACCAAGAAGTGAGAGTTACAAGAATGTAAAGAACATTTAAAAATTTTAACTGTAGAGACTGAATTTATCTGATTTCTAACTTCAAAGGTTTGGGGTAGTAAGATAATTAAAGCTTCAGTCTCTTCTATGCTGTGTAAGTAAACAACTTCCAAATGTTTTCTCACCAGTCAGAACTGCATGTTTGTGAAAACCTCTGGACTGCTATCTCTAGTAGAATAAATAACACTTAATTTTAATGTAATTGAATGTAATTGGCTAACCTCCGTTGGTTAGCAGAAGAGAGTTGGAATGAGTAAAAGCTGCAGTTAATTTTTAATTGATTAAACTTAAACCTCATTCATACCTCTAACCAGGATCTAGAAGCTCCAGCTGCCTTATGCTGCTTTGCAGTTCATGAGGTGTAGTGCAGCATCAGCTTGAACACAGCATTTCTGAATGCATCTGGTTCTGGCAAGAGAGAGAAAACATAACAACAGAAGAAAATGTCCTTCTCCAGTTTTAGAGGTTAGAGCATCATAGACAGAAGCTGGAGGGAAAGTTGCACTGCCTTTTCCAAGTCCATTAAGACAGCCTGTGGTAAAACCAGGAGGTTGATGTGTGCTGGGGAAAGCCAGCAACCTTGTGTACTATGAGCAGGGGGAGCTGGGATTGCTTTTTCAATAGTTAGTGAGAACTTAGGTAAGAGGTTTAAGCTATCCATACAGCAGGCTAAAAGCTGCTAATGATGTTGCTAAAGGAGATGAAATTATTTTTTCTATTCAGTAAACAAGTCCAGGAGTGCTGGTTTTCCAGAGGAGGAATGTGAGAAATCCAATGGACAAATTTTGTTTCCTGATGCAGTCCTACCCAAAACAGGTAGATAGTTCAGGCAGTGTACAGAGCATGCAATTGAATTTTGGGAGGAAAAGGAATAATAGCAATTTCCTCAGAAGGAACAGTAGTTAGTTATTTCTGCAATGCCCACAGTATTCTAGACAAGCTGCCTTTACACAGAGGAGCATGGCAACAAGGGAAAGCAGATACTGCTCCCAGTGACCTGTGTGTACACATTTTAGGTCACCAATATCGGTGTAACTCCTTATGACAAAGTAGGTTCATCTTACCAGCAAAGTGTATTTTGACATTCTATCCACTTCTATTTTTTAAGCTAAAGGGGAGTTAATCATAGCACTCATCTGTTTCGATGGGAGTAGAGCAGAAGGTAAGTTTTAACTTCATACTTTGAAGCTGCTATGAATAGATTAACAGTGTTCCATGGAAACAACCTGATGTACTTCTTTATTTTCTTGGAGTTTCATTTCTGTGTTCTTGCAAAAGCACAAGCTTGTGGAAGCGTAATCAATACAGAGTTACTCAGGGTACTGCATCATCTCAGCAGTGGACACTAACTGCATCTTAACAGGCACACATAAATCAAGCTTAATCAAGAGGAACAGGACATCTTGGCAAGTTTTGCTTTATTACTGGCACTGCTACAATTTAATGATCTATGCATACTGAAATGTGTGTATTGCTGCACTCACTCCCAACAGAATGTGAGTCTTGTAAGGGTGTCCTGTAAAGTATCAAAGTCAGGGTAAGAGAGACAGTATTTATTCTTCTGTCATTATTTTCACAAAGAACTGTTTCTAAGCAGATGGAAAGTCATTCTGCTCAAAGGAGAATAACGGTGGGCTAGAGAACAGCATTCAGAGCAGTACAGCTTTTGAAAAGTTCGTGATCCTATGAATTTAATTACAAAAATTCTGATTTGCAGTACAGATTCTTTCCTGTGTTTTTAAACTCGTATCACTGTTTCCCTGCTCAAAATAACAGGATAAAGACAAGTGTAGTTTTCTGATAACATCCATTGTGTGGAAATCCACAAACACTGGAAGAAAAGGGAGGCTGTACTGCAGAGAGCATATTCCACTACAGAGCCATTCTCTGGGCAATGCTGCATAATTTAGGAGTGGGTAACCATGCCTTCAGGGACAACATGAAACAGAGCAGATGGTTGAAAAAAAATCACAGAAAAAAGCCTCCAAGCTTTGTCCAGTCACACATTTACCCCTCTCTGCAGAAGGGGACAGGTACATTCATACACACATAATGAGTTATCTGTCAGGCATCACAGAGGTCCTTAAGGACAAATGTTTTGGAGCCAGTCTCCTTTTGGACAGAAAAAGCAGGAAGTTGACTCTGTCTTCCAGTTCCAAGGTGCAGTGTCTTATTTCTCATCCTAACCCTAAGTCAATATTTATTGATCAAACTGACTAAGCTTTTTAGGCCGACCAGCTCTCTACGAAGCAATTCTCTCTTGAGCCTCTGCAGGGGCCAGTAACTGGTGCTTAACTACTGCTTCCACTCGGGAATGTCACCGTGCTCCAGCTGCCCCAGAGCCAGCCTGGGACACTGCATTTCTCAGAGAGCAGCACTGCTGGGGCTGGGGCTCTCCAGAGCACTGAAGTACAACAGCAGAGCAAGTCCCACTGGGCTGTATGCTTTTAAAGTCCTGTCCAGTTCTTAGTGACAAAGTTGAGCATGAAACCTGTACTGCCAAATGTATCAGGCCCTTGCTGAGAAGGGCATCAATGGGAAGCAGTCTCAGAAGTGGAGATTTTGAGGAAAGGCTGGTGCTTTCCAAGGCCAACTCACAGGCTGTTTTTTAATGGCTGAATTTCCACCCACCAAAAATCACTGTCAACCAGATCAATTAAAATTGCTGCTAATTTGGGCTAAAATATCCTTTGTGTAACCCAAACCACCACCATCCATGCATCCAAAGAATTCCTAAGCAAAGACTCCTCAGGAGGCAGAGCCCTTCTGACAGGAAATCTGGCAGTGCAGTCTTATGTGACTTTTCTGATGATAATTACTTCTCCAAGACAAGGCAAAGACAGAGGCAGTGCTTTGGGGCAGTGTTTCATGCTCAGCAAGTTTGTAGAGGGAAGGAATGCATTTCTATAAATCACTTGTACTGTATTTGTTTCTAGACTTGAATGAATTTCACTTTTCCTTTGTGAGTCAGCGTATTAAACGTTAAAGAAAAAGTCTATTTTTCTAAATCTCTTTCACCAATAGAGGTCTGACCTGCAGCCAAGAGATGGATTTATTTATCCACAGAGGACGGAGTGTTTATTTTTGAACTAAGATTGGATATGGCATTGAATAAAAAGAAGTATGACCTATAAACTACTGAAACCTTAAATACTATGAACGAATTCCACAAATGAGTAATATGGTGGACTATTCCATCTTTCTTCCCAATAAATCTCTCTCAAAGAAGTTACCCAGAATTAAACTTCCAAATGAAGTACAAGAGATCCTTGTGGTCTAATTACAGACTACTTTCAAAATACTTCCGTTTTCTCCCAATTTGTAATCACTAGAGAACAATGATGACTGAACTATTCCCAACTATAAATAAAGCCATTTCAAATAAAGTAATTTGGCAACAACCACGGCTATTTATAACACTAAAAATGTATTCTGAACATTCAAATTTTCTTAATTTGGTAGCAGTTGAGTGGGAAGAAAAATAACTGCACAATGAATTTTAAATTGAGCTGTATCTACTCAGTAGCCCAAAAAAGCGTACAGATGTAAAGGGAACGCTCTTTGTACCTTCAGTTGCTTCCTCCCGTGCTGCTGTACCCCGTACACTTGGCTTCATTTGGCTTCTGTGCTGTGGTTTGTACGCCAGCCACTGTTACTGACTGTACACAACACGACTGCACTGTAATCTCAGGTCATTGCCACTGGTTGTAACCCAACACTACAGACTTCTCTGTATATAAAACTGGAACCATGTCCCATTTGCTTCCAATAGCTCCAATAAAGACTTATCTCTGTAAACAGGAATTATGGCCTAATGACTGCTTGGGGGGTTGGTTACAGTGAGCAAACTGCCTCCAAGGGGTGCTGAAGCCTGGATGCCAAACCACCGAGGGTCCCTTGTGCCGAGTCAGGTGGGAGCTCAGCAGAACGGACACACAGGTCCCCAAGGCTGCAGCGTTAGCAGAGATGACTTGGAGGTGCAAACATAAAGCACATTTCTGCTGGAACAAGCAGAATGCATTCCTTCATAGAGGTGAAAGTGAACAGAGCATTACTGGATTTCAGCTTACGAGGGCTGCTGCACACAAGTACCTCTGGGGGCTTGCCTTGGAAGCAGTACCAGAAAAGCCCAGAGAAGGCTGTAATAGCTGTGATCAGCCAGGAAGGCAAGTTTCACTCCAAAAAATATCTGGACAATTCCTAGTATTTAGCTTATTAGAAAAGCAGGATGTTTGTTTTCTTAAAAGATAAATTATACACATAAAGAACAAGTAAGGTTCTTTCAAAGTTCTCTCCACCCCTCTCGTTTCACTGTGTTTCTTAAATTCCTGTGGTCCCAGTTTGTCCTCTGAGGTCCAAAGCAAATCCAAGCAATTTCCTTGTCCAGAGCCACTGAGGACAGGAGTTGGGGATACCATGACAATTGTGTGGCTGGTGTTGTTTGCTTGAGGTTGCAACTCATGGTAAGATTTACTGGAATACACACATATGTCCAGCCTGGAGTTACAGAACCCAGCTGTACTCTAGAAGAGAAGTCAGTGAACACAGAGTCTTACTTTTCTTAGAAGTGTTTTTCTGGTCTTGAAATGCTAAATTGAAGTCTGAGTGCAGAGGTCATTAATCAAATTCAGAGGAGATCAGACTTGAGAAGGGATTAGAAACTGTTATGAGCTGACTATAATTGAGATTGCACTTAATGAAATGAGATGTATGAAATCCCACAGCTTAGAATGTATGATAACTGGAGCAGGACTTGGTGTGAGACTTTTGCCCTCGACAGGCCAGTGTGCAGCCAGCCCAGTCTGCCGGCATACCGCAAACAAGTCAGTAATGCACAAAGAGCTACTCAGGGACAAGTGTACCAAACACAACGAAACCTTGCATCACTTAAAATTTAGAGCTGTATCAAATATTTAGCAAGTAAGATCCACAGAGAACTGAAGAGAGTCACTTAAGAAAACATCATTAACACTTAACTGAAACTGAAGTCAGTCTTACCTACTGTATTAGCATAGTGCCTGTCTGCTCATGCCTGATGTTAGCTGGCTCACTAAGAGGTCATTCCAAAAGCTCCCTTGGGATTATCATCTCTGAGGTGCTGAGAAGGCTGTCAGCTCTTCAGCACCAGCCTGGCAACTGCTGGTGACAGCTCACAGTGAGCTGGGCCCGCTCCAGGAGCTGGCGGCCATTCTGTGGCCCCGCAGGAATGGGAGAGGGGCACGTATGGCAGTGGGACATGGGAGAAGCCACACGGCACTGGGCCTGTGCTGGCAAAGGAGGTTGGCACATCCTTCTTTCCTCATTGAGAAAATGCCTGGCATCTCCTCCTCAGTTTTACTCCCGTCCTGCCCTAGCTAAGCTAACTTTGCCCAGGCAGTTACAGAGTATCTTGCTTGAAGCTGTGCTTTGTGGCCCCCATCACCCCCCACCCCCTGCAAACCAAGAAATACCAAGTCCATCTACTTTTCCTCGGCAACCTGCAGTGCCTCTCACTATGAATCTGCAGCTGAATGCACACAGTGAAATCTGCACAGAAAGCTCCTTCATTTCAGGCCCTCCCCAACACTGCTTGGCTGCCCCATCCCCTGCTGGCACAGCACCGAAGGGATCCATGCAGAAGGAACCATCTGCTTTACAAGCAAGATGTCCAGTTTATCTTGCTGCAATCAGCATCACCTTGGAAAAGTGTATTTGATTGCAGAGGAAGCAGGAAAAAAATACTGATTGACTGATGTCCAAGTTTGATGTTAAGCAACTAACAAGCCAGCCTGTAACTTCCATGTGCAAAGAACTGCTGCATCTAGAAACCTGCCCAAAACAGCACCCCTCTTTCTGCAAGAAGTGTCACCTCACTTCATTGCTCATGACATAATGCTGACTTTGGTGGTTTGCTGCAGGGTTGAGTTCCAGCAAGTCAGCTATAAAGAGTTTTTCCTATTTGCTAAGCTGTAAATTATCCTTCTCTTTTGTGACCCCAATCCTTGGTAGAACCAACTGAAAGAAACTGGAGCTGCCACTGCTTTCAGGGCCCTGAATCCATCTTCACTTTGGGCTATACATTCCAGCACATTTATTTGCAATGCTGTAAAAAGCCTGTGTGTACTCTTGTTAAAGTTACAACAAAAGGCCCTTTCTTGCTCCAGGCATGAACATGAGGCAAAATCCTAAAAAGGCCTTTAGATCCCAAAAAAGGGCCAATACCCTGCACAAACAACACTTCCCTCTTCTCCTCTGTTTAGGTGCTGGCACACACCAAAGGTGGGATTTCCTGCCTGCAGTGAAGGCAGGCTCAGCACTCTGCTGGTTCTGATTCATTCAAAGGGACTTTTTTTTTTAAATATCTGGGTACCTTTGGATTACAGTAGAAGGGGAAAGGCTAAACCAGGGCAAGATGACAAAATACAGCTCAGTAAATCCAATTATGGTGCCCTGCAAAGCAGTTCCATACAAACTCCTATAGTGCCAATACTGCAAGTCTTGAGGTAGCCACAGGACTCCTGCATTGAGCACAAAGCAAGCACATGGACAGGGGTTTGAGCTGCTCAGATCAGTTATCCTGGGTTTAAAGAACGATGCAGTTTTGAGAAAGATGCTGTTACATGTAGAAGACATGTAACTTCTGTTTGTACAATAAACTATTCTGAGATCAAACGAATAAAAACTTGAACGGAATTTAGAACTTTCCAGTTACAGTAATTACTGGTCTCCTCACTCTGTCCTAACAATGGGAATGTGCAGCACCTGTAACTTCTAAAGACATCCAGAGTTCAGACCATTCCTGTAATGCTGAAGCTGGGGGCACCCAGGAGCTCTAGTTTGCTGACCATGTCTACAAGCAGCAGCCATGTCACCTACAACTCACAGCAGGCTGGCACAGGCTCCCACAGCCCCTCTGTGGGACACAAACCACCTCAGGGAGACAGACGCACAATCTCCTCGTGCAAAACACTTTCCCCTCCTTCCCGATGAGATCTTGTTCCTCAAGTGTTTCCCTGTGGCATTATGCAGCAGTTCTGCCATGCCCTGAGTAGGTGGCAAGCTCAGATATACATTGCTCTGCAAGCAACCACCCTTCATCCTCCTCCTCTTTGCCACCCCTTCTCTCTGGTGCACCAGTATTAATTACCATCAAACCACTTCTGTAAGCTAGCCAAGCCTCCAGGACACAGAAGGCAATAGATCACTCCCCCATTTTCTGGGCAGCCAAGACTTGTGCCAAAACCACAGTGGTTTGCTGTGGTGTTCTTAAAAGAACTGATAAACCCCTTTCACCTGCACCATGACAGCTGACAGTGACACAGCACTGCCATCTCAGTGAGTCCTTTACTAGCCTTTCTCAGGCACAGCAATTGAATAAAATCTGCACAGCAGCTTTCTTTTCCTTGTGTGGCATAAACTGACCAGCCACATCAGAAAACTCCATCAGGAGCCACTCCAGGGCCCCTCCCAAATGACATTTACCAATGTGGCTCCAAGGCCCCCTTTCCCCATGACACCACCAGCTCTGTGCATGAACAGACGCTCACAGCAGGGAGTTTAAACACACAGCTTGGATGTTTTCATGGCACACACTAACTGTGCTCAGCACGAGGAGGGCTTCTGCTCAGAGCTGGCAGCCTGCAAGCCTCATCTCTTCTACACCTTCTGGAGCCTCAGAGCCCAGTGCGGCTGCGATTCCATCCTAAACACTGCAAGCGCTTTCCTAAAAATCATCACTTTTGCCACACAAGCTGCTGATTAAGATGGACCTCTGCAACTCCATAACTGAACCAGCCTGCTCACTGCCATAAAACAACCTGCACTTGGACTCCTGATCCCCTCCAGTGACCACCATGTTAAGCCACACATGAAGGGCCCATAAGGTGAGATCTCAAGAGACCAACTCACATCACCTTCAGCTATAACTCAAGCCACTAAAGCTGATTAAAAAATACTTTTACCTTAACATTTTAACCAACATGTAATATTTTTTGTATTCTGAAAAACTTCTGTGATAAACTTTTGCTATAAAGTTTGCTACATCTCCTATCTCAACCATTATTAATAAACAGAGAATTAGAATGATTTACCTGTAAGTTCAAGGTGTATTAGAAACACATCCCACAGATTTACTTCCAAGACACTTCAATTTTACTACACTTCCTCCTAGGAGATCATTTTTGTACAAGGACATAATACAACTTTCTGATCAGATTTGTAGGAGGAACCCATGAATTACTTAACCAGCAGTCAGTGGTGTGACTGACTTCTCATGCACATTCTCCACGAGGAGAACAGCCCACGGCAGCCACTCATCACATTAGAGATCAAACAGCTCCACTTTATTAGCTCTCACAGCCTATTTCAAAGGTTTCCACCTCAGGAGGCCTCAGCTCAGACCTGCCTGTGACAGGCTGCCATGAACATCATCCACCTCCTGCTGAAAGGCTGCTACTGCTGCCTGGGAAGAACTCATTGCCTGCCTCAGCCTGAGGGGCCTGGGGGGTGTCTGCAAGGGGAAAACAATAGACGAGGCCATTTAAACCCCGTGCAAATTAAGGCGAAAATTTTATACCTCCACAAGGGCCATTAATGCAGTACAAGTTCTGTACAGGTTTCCCCCAAAGTATCACTCATCTCCAGCGGTTATTGTTTGGATCTAAAGCTCTGCTGTCCTCCGCTGCCCTGGTGCTCTTCTAACACCCACAGACACTGGAAGAGCTCTGGGAGGTTCTGCATGGTTCCCTCAGGAAGCACCGCCCCGCCCGAAGGCAGCTGCTCCCCTCCAGCCCAGCAGCTCAGCGGTGTGCCCGCACTCCGCACCT